AGGCTGGCCTCGAACTCACAGAGATCCGCCTGCCTCTGCCTCCCAAGTGCTGGGATTAAAGGCGTGCGCCACCACCGCCCGGCTCTGCTTGACTTTTAAAATAAATAAAATCTATAATTTTAAGTAGAATTGGGGTAATTATAACAATTTATTCTAGTTCTGAAGATACATTCATCTTCCTTTTCTTTTTTTTTCTCAGTTTTGGGAGTCAGATCCAGGTCTCTCTCTCTCTCTCTCTCTCTCTCTCTCTCTCTCTCTCTCTCTCTCTCCCACCACCCAACACTCCACTTTACTTTTCCATGCAGTGCTTTGGAGCACCAGCGGCTTCTAAGTCTGTGGTGTGTTGTGGGAGAGAGCAAAAGAACCAGAGTCAGGAGCCTGGGCCCACAAGGCGTCTAGACCAGTGCCGTGGGAGATGCTTCTTCAATCTGAACGCACTCCCCAGACTCAGCTTTCTTTCAAGACCTTCAGCTTCTCATGTTTGCATCCACGGGCTGTCCTATCTGTCTGTCTAGAACTGAGTTCACAGAGCCCAGCATGGGCTCTGCACCTCTGTCTGTATCTCACAGCCAGCAAGTTTGGTGGACCCATTAGTTCTCATCTACACCATGCTTTCCCCCGACAATCACGTGGTTTGGTGACCCCATTTGCACCGTGCTTCTCCCCCCCAAGCACGTGGTCTGTGAGCAGGGTCTGATTTGTTTCCTTTTAATGCTTCTATTTCTTAACGCTTATGCTGATGTGTCTACAGCTTCATTAAAATTGTATTTAGTTGAATTAAATTAAAAGTATGTTGAATGCAAATAAAATATATTAAATGATAACTTTTAGGGCACTGGTGAGCATTCCAACATGTATTGAGTTGTGTAAACTTTAAAATGAAAGAGCATGCAACAGATTTCTTATCTGTTTGTGTCACTACAGATGACATCATTTTTCTGGCTGGTGCTTACTATGTGGGGCGCGATAGAGCATCTCAGATTGAGAAATTCCCTTTTATTTTTTCTTTGGTGAAGGTTTTCTGCTTTTCTTCTTTCTTTCTTTCCTTCTTTCCTTCTTCCTTCCTTCCTTCCTTCCTTCCTTCCTTCCTTCCTTCCTTCCTTCCTTCCTTCCTTTTTTTTTTTGAGACAGAATCTCACTGTGTAAACCAGACTGCCTTGAACCCAGAGATCCTCCTGCCTCTGCCTCTAGAGTGCTGGGACTAAAGGCATGTGCCTGGAGGTTTCCTGCTTTTCTTAAGTGACATGTTTTCTTAGGATAACTGAAACAAAAAAATGGCACACACATGGATTGCCTTGTCCAGGGTGAGGAAGGGCCTTGTGCCTCTGAAGTTTTGTTTTAGCATTGTAAATGGAATGAAACCCCTGATCCAACTTTACATTTTTTAGAGTCACATTCATATTAGCATGTTGCCAGTACCCCTGTAAAAGATACGATCTTTTCAAAAATGGAAATATATGAAAGTAATTTTTTTTGAAACAAACTATACAGCAGCATTGGAAGGACAGAATAACAATGATTTTTTTAATAGCAAAAATGATTTGACTATTTTAATGGTACAATGATTTTATATTTTGCTTACTAAACTTGGATGCGTTAATTCAATTTTTTATGTGTATGTGCGGGCATATGTGTGCTCGAGCATGTGTGTCTGTGTGTGTACATGTATTTTGAGGTCAGCATGTTAATGTAGGACATCTTCCTTACTCTCCATCTCATTTATTTATTGAGGCAGCATTTCTCACAGAACCTGGTGCTCGTTGATTCGGCTAGACTGGCTGGTCAGTCACTCCCAGGGGTCTTTCTGTCTCTGCCCTCCCAAATCTGGGATTGCAGGTGCATGCTGCTATGCCTGGATTTTTACATGGGTGCTAGAGTTTGAACTCAGATCCTCAAAGCTTTTGCAATAAGGACACTATCAAAGGAGCCATCTCCCAGCCCTGATTAACACATCTTTGCTTTTGTAAAATTGGTCTTCATCTCCATCACTTGCTCCCTCTTTAAAGACTATTAATTAAGAAAAACAGGGGAAAGAGAGCCATTTCCTGTTGAGGATGTGGCCAAGAGCAGGTTTCCCAAGCTCCAGTGGAGGCATGTATATGTAGGCAGCAATAACTGGATTTTAGTGGGTTATAAAAAAAAGGCATGAAGTTGGAAAGGAGCATGTTTGCCTCCAAGCATGAAGGTGGTGGAAGCAGATAGGATCACTTTTCATTGTACATATGTATGAAATTTGCAAAAATAAAGGAAAACAATGAAAAAAATAAATGGAGTGGAAGAAACCATACAGAGAGATCCGTGCATAGAATGCTCAGTTTCTCCATGGTAACATCTGCAAAAATTGTGTATAAAATGCCAGTCAGGTTATTGACACTGAAAAGTGCACTCAGAACACTTGAGATTTCTTGTTTTACTTATGCTAGTGTGAGTGGTAAGCTCTGTGCTTTATTACCTGTGTTGATTTTCGTGTTTGAATTTCCATCCAATGCCTTGATTTCTTTCTTCTTTCTTTCTTTCTTTCTTTCTTTCTTTCTTTCTTTCTTTCTTTCTTTCTTTCTTTCTTTCTTTCT